GGGTGGGGGGAGGGGTAGAGGGGTCAGCGGCCCCACCCCGGGATAGGACCCGCCCCCTCCTCCTACCACACCCTGCCCCGTCCTCACCGATCTTCACCGGGAAGCCGGGAGGCAGTTTGAGGGTGATGAAGTCCCTCAGCTTGGCGAAGTGAGCGTTGGAGATGGCCATGAGGTCGATGATGGGTGTCACCTGCTCCGCCAGCGACAGCGGGTGCTGCTCGCACAGCCACAGCGTCGCCTTGAACCTGCCCGGGCACCGGCGTGGGTACGGGAACCCCGCCGGTGCCACGTCCCCTGGCACCCCGTCACCAACCCCGTGGGTCCTGACACCCGGTGCAACATCTCCTAGGACCTGGTCGCCACCCCCGTGGGTCCTAACACCCAGTGCCATGTCTCCTAGGACCTTCTCACCACCCTGATGGATCCTGGCACCCAGTGCCACGTCTCCTAGGACCTCATCACCACCCCTATGGGTCCTGACACCCATTGCAACACCTCCTAGGACCTTGTCACCACCCGTGTGGGTCCTGACATCCAGTGCCATGTCCCCTAGATCCTTGTCACCACCCCCACAGGTCCTAACAGCCTGGTGCCATGTCCCTTGGGACCTTGCCACCACCCTGCTGGGTCCTGACACCCAGTGCCATGTCTCCTAGAGCCTTGTCACCACCCCCATGGGTCCTGACACCCACTGCCATGTCTCCTGGGACCTCATCATCACCATTGTGGGTCCTGACACACACTGCCACATCCCCTGGCACTCTGTCACCACCCCCATGGGTCCTACACTCAGTGCCATGTCTCCTAGGACCTTGTCACCACTCACATGGGTCCTGACACCCAGTGCCACATCTCCTAGGACCTTGTCGCCACCCCCGTGGGTCCTAACACCCAGTGCCATGTCTCCTAGGACCCTGCCACCACCCTGATGGATCCTGGCACCCAGTGCCACATCTCCTAGCACCTTGTCACCACCCCCATGGGTCCTGACACCCACTGCCATGTCTCCTAGAACCTTGTCACCACCCCCCATGGGTCCTGACATCCATTGCAACACCTCCTAGGACCTTGTCATCACCCGTGTGGGTCCTGACATCCAGTTCCATGTACCCTAGGACCTTGTCACCACCCCAGTGGATCCCAGCACCCAGTGCCACATCTCCTAGGACCTTGTCACCACCCCCATGGGTCCTGACAGCCTGGTGCCATGTCCCCTGGGACCTTGTCACCACCCCTGTGGGTCCTGACACCCAGTGCCACATCCCCTGGGACCTCATCACCACCCCCGTGGGTCTTCACATCCAGTGCCACATCCCCAGGACTGTGCCACCACCCCCCACATGTCCCCTGCCACCCTGTTGCCACATCCCAGGGAGCGGGTCACCACCCCCATGGGTCCTTACACCCCAGTGCCACATCCCAGGTGACCACGTCACCATCCCCAGGTGTCCTACTACCTCAGTGCCGTGACACTGCTCTACATCGGCTCCCCGCCATGCCGGTTCCTCGTCCCTGGAGCCTTGTCACCCCCGGGGGTGGTGGTGGCCTCACCTCTGCACCTTGCTGGACATCTCGATGGGGCGCCCGATGTTGCGGGTCTCCAGGTCGAAGTGGGGGTCGAAGTACTCCTCGGGGGTGATGGCGGTGGGGTTGGTGGGACTGGCAGCAGCCCGGGGTCCTGGGGTGACACCACCGGCTCCGCTCAGCCCGACCCCCCGAGGGACCCCCAGGCCCCCTGGGCGGGGGGACACCCCAACCCCGGCCACTCACCCCGTTGTGGGTGCCGTGCTGCTGGGCGATGCCCAGGAAGGAGTGGAAGGGGGTCTTGGAGCCTGGTTGGGGAGAGAGGGGGGATGTGTGGGTGCAGCGTGGGCAGGGGACCCACCCAGCACCCATGGTGTCCCCACGGGTCATATGTCCCACCCAACACCCGTGGTGTCCCACGTCTCGTATGTCCCACCCAGCACCCATGGTGTCCCATTGGTCGTATGTCCCACCCAGCACCCATGGTGTCCCACGTCTCGTACGTCCCACCCAGCACCCATGGTGTCCCACGTCTCATACATCCCACCCAGCACCCATGGTGTCCCATGTCTCGTATGTCCCACCCAGCACCCATGGTGTCCCAAACCTGAGGGGTCACACCCTGCCATGGGCCCTGCGCCTGATGGGTCACACCCCACATGTCCCACACCTCATGGGTCACATCCAGCGCCCACCATGTCCCACGCCTGACGGGTGACACCCCGTACCCTACACTGTCCCACACCTGCCACAGGTGACATCCACCACCCATGGTGTCCCACGCCTCACCGGTGACACCCACCACCCACAGTATCCCACGCCTGAGAGGTGACACCGCGCACACTGTCCCCACCCGACACGGTGCCACCCAACGCCCGACACGTCTCCCACCCAGCAAGGGGGTGGACCTCGCACTAGGGGGCGGGTCTTGCACCAAGAGGGGGCGTGTCCCCGCTGGGGGCGGGTTCCCTGATTGGCCGACGGGGCTGTCACCTTTGCTGCGGGACTTGTCCTGGTCGGAGAGGTGTTCCGTCCTCGTCTTGGTGACCAACTCCACGTTGCTGGCGCTGTACACCTACCGGGGGACAGGATCAGCCCCGCCGGCCACCGGTGGTGGGGGTCCCACCTTTTTGGGGTTGTCCCACCCCGTTTCCCCTTTTTAGGGGGGGGAAGGTCCCACCCCGTCCCTCCTTTTTGGGGGATGTCCCACCTTGGCCTCGTAACCGCTGACCACCTCCATCTTCTCCGAGCGCCAGCCCCAGATCCCCGACTTGTTCCTGGGGAGGAGGAGAGCGTCAGCGCGCCCTCGCACGCCGCTCGCCCTCTTGCACAAGCGCTTCCTTCCCCTTCGCACGCGGTTTTCCACCCCCTCCCCCCCAGCCCCGCTGTGAACCCTCGCACGGCCCCTTCCCGCTCCGTGTTGTCCCCAACCCCGCGCCGAGGTCCACCACGCGGCAGCCCACCGCTCGAAGGCGATGTTCCGGGTGTCGAGGTGCGTGGAGACGATGGGGGGCGTCTCCGTGTAGACCACCTGCTTGTCATGGTCCACCTCCATCACCACCGCCCCTTCGTCTGCGCGTGGGGACACGGGTCAGCGCCCGCCACGGCCACCCCGCCACCCCCAAGCCTGGGGGTCACATCATCTTGAGATACGCCTGAGGGTATCTGGGAGGGCTTCGGAGGGTCCCCGTGGGGAACTGGGGGGGTCCTACAGGAGATGGAGGTCACTGGTATGTGTCGGGGTGGTCTCCAACGCTGCTGGAAAGGGGGAATTGGGGTCCCCAGGGGGTCCCTGTAGAGGATCTGGGGAGCTTATGGGGGAGTACTCAGTGTACGGTGTCTGGAGGGGTGACCAAGGTCACCAGAGGGTCCGTGAGGGTGTCGGGGGTGTCACGGAGGGGCTGGAAAGGACCTTCTCCCTTGAAGATGTAGCTGCGGCGGCCGCGCTGCCGCTTCCAGACGCGGTAGACATCGCTGGGGCACACCTTGGAGACCAGCGGCACTGCGGGCGCGTGCGCCACGTCAGCGGCACGCCACCAGGATGGTGGTGGTGGTGGTGGTGGTGGTGGTGGTGATGGTGGTGGTGGTGGTGGGGGACACCCCACCGGTCAACCCCATAACCCCGCTCACCCCAACTGGTGAACTCCCACTTCATCTCCACGTAGAAGTCGGACGCCTGGAAGAGATT